GCTTTGTGGGTGGGGCCCCACAAGCCAGGCAGGTGGGGGAACAGAGACAGAGGGAGATAGGGAAGAGGGAGGAGGTGGAAAGGGGAAGGAGAGAGGAGGGGAGGAGGGGGAAAGAGGACAGGGGTGTGCGTGGTGTTCTGGGGCTTCCGATTGTACTTCCGGCTCTTTCATGTGGGGTAGAACCAGGATTTAGCACACCTACTTGGGGTTCACTGTTCCCCCTTTGTTCCAGCCCATGGGAGGCTGGGCTGCCCCCCCCCAGCCCCGGGCTGACTCACGCCCCCCCCCCATAGGTAGGAGTGTGTGTGGAGACCCTGGCCCTCGGCAGACCCCCATGGAAGGAGGCTCTCCAAGGGACCAGATGCTACCTAAGCAGCCATGGGGGTTCAGAGAAGGTGGGGAGGAGGAAGTGACTTTCAGGTGTGGAGGGAGGAGGGCAGTCAAGCTGAGGTGACTGGTGTATAGAAGTGCGCTGGGAACGTGGCTCGGTGGTAGAGTGCTTGCCTAGCATGCATGAAGTCCTGGGTTCGATTCCTCAGCACCACATACACGAGCTCAGGGATAGTGCCCAGGCCCTGAGTTCAAGTCCCATGGCTGGCAAAAAAAAAAAAAAAAGCATAATAAAGATCTGAGTCCCACAGGCCTTGGGTACCTGGGTACAGAGGGGCAGAGGTGGACATGGAGAGGTTACCATGGGAGCTGGTGTTCTGGGAGAAATGGGGGAATGCTAGATTGTCATTCTTCACACAGGGCCTCTCCCAGAGGAAGGTTTGATGATTTGTGTTCTTACTTTAATTTGCCAGTCCAGGGGCTTGAACTCAGGGCCTGGGCACTATTCCCTGTACTTTGTTGCTCAAGGCTGGTGCTTGACCACTGGAGTCACAGTCCTATTTCTAGCTTCCAACCAGGATCCTCAGATCTTAGCCTCCTGAGAAGACGGGGTGACAGGTGTGAGCCTCCAGTGCCTGGCTTCATTTTTATCTGTTAGGCTCCACAGGCCACTGCTGGGTGGTGATGAAGGGCCACCCTGTAGGCCAGATGGCACCTTGGGCAAGTCCCTCTCTGCTCTGGGGTGACGCAGAAGGGGGGCCCCACGTGAGGGGGCTGGGGAGTACTGCAGCACTGGTGGGAAGACGCCCACTACATCCTCAGAGGCATGTCTTTTAGAGTCTGTGCAGGCAGGGAAACTGAGGCTGGCAGGGGCTTGGGCCTTCCTTAAGTCCTCAGGGTCCCTGATTTCCGGACTGTGGGTCTGTGACTCCACTGGGAGGCCCCTGGGGCCTGTGGGTGGCTGAGTCATGGAGGAGGGGCTTCAGCGGCAGTGGGGGGGTGTGTGGGGGAAGCGGCCCAGATCTCTCATGATCAGCCGGGGGTGAGCAGAGAGGCTGTTCCCCAGGGGCAGCCCTGCCCTCACCCCCTGGCCCTGGAGGCTGGTGGGAAGCTGGAGACTAGGCCCCAGAACCAGGTCTCTCCTATCCTTCTCTCTTCTGAAGCCATAGCCATAAGAGGTGAACAGACAGGGCCTGTGGGCATGCCTCACCTGGCCACTGCTCTAGGCGGGGCCAGGCCAGCACACCTGGTCAGCTGGGAGGTGCAGGGAGGGGCCCAGGGAGGAGGAAGGCCCCTGCTAACCCACACTGACCCGGCTTTCTGGGGAGCCCTGTTGCTTCCTGGTTAACCAGGGAGCCAGGGCTGGGCCCCACCTCCAGCCTTGGGTTTTTCTGCTCTGCAGTCCACCTTCCAGAAGGTTCTGTGCCACCCTGCCCACGTCCCACCCCCACGTCTCAGCCTCTTACACAGGAAACCCAGTGGTCTTCAGAAGGGCTGCTCTCACCTCCCTCAGGGACTCAGTCTTTCTCAGGGCTATCCTGGGCCAGTACCCCCAACTCACTCACAGAGCTCCCCAGTTGTGACAGACAATCATAGCCCAGACCTGGCCTGAGACACCAGCAGGGTGGGGGCTAGAATTGCCCAGAGGCCATGCTGTGCGCTGACACAGGAAGGCCTCAGGATCCTGGCTGTGTGGTTTTGCCTAGCAGTTGCTCTTTTTTTTTTTCCTTTTTGCCAGTCCTGGGGCTTGAATTCAGGGCCTGGGCACCGTCCTTGAGCTTCTGCTGCTCAAGGCTAGTTAAGCGTTCTACCACGTGAGCCACAGCGCCACTACTGGTCTTTTCTGTGTATGTGGTACTGAGGAATCGCACTGCCCATTTCTCTTTTTTTGTTTTTTTAATTCCTATGCCAGTCTTAGGGCTTGAACTCAGGGCCTGAGCACTGTCCCTGAGCTTCCTCATTTTAAGGCTAGCGCTCTATCATTTAAGCCACAGCGCCACTTCTGGTTTTCTGGTGGTTCACTGGAGAGAGGAGTTTCACAGGCTTTCCTGCCTGTGTTGTTTTGAACCGGGATCCTCAGATCTCAGTTGTTAGGTTTACAGGCCTGAGCCATCAGTGTCAGTTGCTGGCCTTGAAGCCCAAATTCTTGAGTGGTAGCAAAATAAAACTGTAACAGGCACACTGGCTGCTTCTGGTCATTGTGATGTGGCTTTACAGGTTACCAGGAATGTAGCAGCGTGTCATCAGTCACTGTCCCTTCCTCTTGTTCACAACAGGGTTCCAGAAACTGAAGGGGTGGGAGGGGGGACTGTGTGCCTGCACAGGGCTGGCTGGCATGATGTCACCTGTGGGAACTTCTTGGCTTGCCAAGAGAGGCCATGGGTTGGTTTATTGTAAGCCTAGGATGAGCCCAGGGCCTCAGGAATCTAGGCAAGGACTTGCCACAGAGGTACAACCCAGACCGATTGTTTTTTTACCTGCTCCAGTCTGGAGTGGGTTTTTTTTTTTTTTGGTTCAGAGGTGGGCTGGGTCCGTGCATGGAGTACTGGGCAGGGCACAGAGGGCTGGTGCTTGCCCAGCATCCCATGAAGTAGTAGAGCACTAGCCTTGAGTGAAAAAGCTCAGGGACAGTGCCCAGGGCCTGAGTTCAAGCCACAGGACCACACACACACACACACACACACAAACAAAAGGATATCAGAAGACATCAGACTTATCATACACACACACACACACACACACACACACACACACACACACACACACACACACGAAACTATCCAGGGTAGGGTAGGGTCTGGGAAGGTGGCTCAGTGGTTAAGTGTTTGCCTTGCATGCATGAGGCCCTGGGTTCGATTCCTCAACACCACATAAGCAGGAAAAAGCTGGAAGTGGTGCTGTGGCTCAAGTGGTAGAGCCTTGAGCTGAAGAGCTGAGGGACAGCGCTCAGGCCCTGAGTTCAGGCCCCATGACTGACAAAAAAAAAAAGTTATTCAAGCTGGGAAAGTGGCTAAGCAGTAGAGAGCTTGTCTAGCATGCATGAAGCCCTGGGTTCAATTCCTCAGTAACACATAAACAGAAAAAAGCCAGAAGTAGCACTGTGATTCAAATGGTCGAATGCTAGCCTTGAGCAAAAGAAGCTCTGGGACAGTGTCCAGGCCTTGAGTTCAAGGCCCAAAACTGGCAAAATAAAAAGAAATTAAAAAAAGAAAGAACGAAAGACATTATCTTTCCAAACATGATTAAGTGGAATGTTCACGCAAGTCCTATACTGGTAGTCAGTTGGGGTGCTGGCGATTTTGGTGGCCACTGGGTCAAGGAGGTGTTAGATGTGTGTTCTGGTTGCTGCCTGGGCACTGGGGTCAGGATGGTCTCCGATCTGGTGCCCAAGCTAAGCACTGTTGACTTAGGATGGAAATGCTGAATGCTAAAGAACCTGTAGGTAGCTGGGCGTTGGTGGCTCACGGCTGTCATCCTAGCTACTCAGAGGCTGAGATCTGAGGATCACAGTTCAAAGCCAGCCTGGGCAGGAAAGGCCATGAGACTATCTCCAATGAACCACCCAGAAAACTGGAAGTGGTGCTGTGGCTCAAGTGGTAGAGCGCTAGCCTTGAGCTGAAGAGCTGAGGGATAGCGCCCAGGCCCAGAGTTCAAGTCCCACGACCAACCAAAAAAAAAACAAAACCCCGTGGGGGGTGGGTGGCAGTGGGGGTAGGGGATCAGGCTGCAGCCTAGGGAGGTCACTAAGGGGGGGGGGCTTCAGGAGAGGTGGGGTGGGAAGGAGAGCCTCTCGCTCACCTGTTCCAGCACCTCAGCATCCTGGTGCAGGCTCAGTGCCACCCTTGCCCAGCACCGCCCTGCACACTCCAGCTCCAGCTCCAGGCACAGGGCAGTCATTGTCCCCCTGGGCCCCAGGTCCTGTGGACCCATGTGGGGTGGGCAGTGAGAGGCACGGGGGGCACGCTCCTGAGGGCCGGGGGGGTCCCCCCACAGGGTGGCACCTTTGACTTCTGAAGAATACACTTTTGGGGGGATGAGAAGTGACAGAAACCTTTAGGGCCAGAGGCAGGGCCAGCTTGTCTCTAATGCGTGCAGAGAAAAGGCTGCATGGGGGAAGGTCTCCCAGAGGCTGGGCCGGGGTTCCAGGGGCCCAGCCCCTGCCTCCTGCGGGGCAGCACTGAGATGGGCATCTGCCTCTTTGTTTCCCCATCAGGAAGTGGGTGCAGGCCCTGGGGCCTCGTGCCCACCCCCCTCCCCCGCAGGGCAGAGGCTGCAGCAAAACAGCATGGGACTGAGGATCTGCTGGGACCCCTCGGTGCCAGGAACTAGTTCGAGGGACCTCGAGAGTGAGCTGCTGGGTGGTGGCTTCTGAGCGGCGGGGTGGGCAGAGGCCACAGCGCCACTGCGTCTGTGGGGCTTGCTGCGAGGCGGAGTCCCAGCCTTATCTACAGATCTGCCAGCAAGTGTGGAAACCCAAGACTTCCTGTGTGCAGAGCTGTGTCAGCCCAGGGGCGCCGTGGGGCCGGCAGGGTCCTGTCCAGGCCGTGTGGACGTGGACAGGAGGGAGCTGGGGCTGGAGGCTGGGGGACGGAGCCCAGCTTTCCCCCCAGCAGATGCTGCTCCCCAGGGAACTGCCCACAGCCAAGCGTGACAAGGACCATGGCCGTGGCTGCTTTTTTGTCTCCATTTTATTTTGTTGAAACCTAAGGGAGCAGGCTCCCAGCTGACAACAGGGCGGGCCACGGCACCTTCCCCAGAGGCCAGCGGGTGACGGGGGACAGGGCCACGCGCGCCACGCGGCTGTCACACGGCCGTGCGCGTGGGCGTGCTGGGCTGCTTCAGCCGCAGGGTTCGGCACAGCCAGCCCGCAAAGTCCACTTCTTCCACCTCGGCCCGCTTGATGAACGAGTGGTTCTGGAAGGGAAGGTGCCAGAGGGCGCTGAGGGGGGGGGAGGGGAGGGGAGGGGAGAGGAGGGAACTCAGGGGAGGGGCTGTCAGGCAGGGAGGGGTAAGCATGCCCCGGGGTGGCCCCCCTGGCCTCCACACTCTTCCGTTAGGCACACCCCTAGTTGTACCAGCCGCACACCCGGTCATCACCAGAGCCCTGAAACACTGCTGAGGGGCTGTGTGGGGAGGGAGGAGACCCCAGGCCCTGCCCATGGCCCCAGGCTCAGGTGGAGGAGCCAGTGCCAACGGGCAGAGGAAAGGCAGGACAGCAGGAAACACTGTGGTCCCCTCCCTGCGCCCACCCCCCCCCTGTCCTTTGAGACAGACGTCACAGTACCCCAGGCTGGCCTAGAACTGGCCATTCGCCTCAGCCTTAGTGCTGGAACGTCAGGTGTGCCTGCGTGTGCTGACAGTAAGTGTGGCCGTGGCCTCTCTCTCTCTCTCACACACACACACGCACACATGCACGCACGCACATGGTTAAGCGCAGGTTCTGGGGAACCAGGGGGCCCTGCCAGGCCCCCTGTGCCTGTGCGTTGGCTAAGCTGGGTCTGGAGGCTTTGCAGGGATCCCAGCAGAGTCCCCTCTGTATGGTGGGCCAGGCCACGCCCTGTCGCCCTCTAGGCCACGCCCCTGACCACACCCGGCGCCCTTACTCTCACTCACCATGAGCATCTTCAGATCCGCTCGTTCTGCTGGGTTCTTAATGAGGCTGGACATGGACAAGAGCACCATTAGTCCCTGGCTCCAGGGGCACCCACGTGGAGGGACATGGCGGGGCCGCTGGTGCCAGGCTGGGCAGGGCCCTGCCGGCATGGACAAGGGGCTCCACTGCTGACCTCAGGTTCCCTGGCAGGATGCCCCCGGGGAGGGCAGTCAGCTCACTTTATACCAAAACTCCAAACTTGGGGGTCCTGGTGTCAAAACAGGCCTTGATCCCTCTACACACACACACACACACACACACACACACACACGAGCACCCAAGGGCAGTGGCTGGACGCAGCTCAAGCCAGAGTCTCCAAGTACAGACGCATACCAGCCGCTCACCTGGCCTGTGCAAAGGGCCTGCGGTGCCCTACCCTGGGTGTTAGCAGGACCATCAAGAGTGTGATGAGTCCTGGGGAGCCAGGGGCTGGCAGCCCTCCCCCCCCCCCGAAACTTGCAGGACAGTTAAGCAATGGAAGAGTGGCTAGGACTGCACTGAGGTCCCTTTTTCCTGCTGGCAGACAGCGATGTGGAGCTATGTGACTGCCCTGGGTTTGGAAACAAGCTCTGTCCCATCCAGGCCACCTGAACCATGGGGGCAGCAGCTGGGCTCGGGCGCGCCCCTCCACCCCGCCACACCCCTTACCATTTATTTACAAACTCCTGGAAGTCTGGGCTGAACACCCCACTGGGCAGCTTAGGAGGCGGCTGTGGAGGAGACAGAGAATAGGGTCACCCTGTGGGCCTGGCAGGCCTCACTTGTCCTCGGGGCCCCTGCTGCCCGCTTCCCCCAGGGAGGTTCTGTCCTGGTGGAGGGAGAGACCCAGCCCCCCACTGCCTGGGCCTCTACAGGCCATGCTCATCCTAGGTGTGGGCGGGCAGACAGAAGACCATGGGGACAATCTCTCTGAGCCTCAGGTTGCCCACCTCCCCTGGTGGGCATCAGGTGGACCAAGGGGCAGCAGGGCTGCGCTGGCTGTGTCACCAGTCCATCCTCCCCCGCTGCCCAACCCCAGACTGAGCCCAGGGAGGCAGGCAACTTGCCGCCTGGCTGCGCCTGGTTCCAGGGACCCCTGAAGGCGGAGGCAGCCCTGCACACAGGCCAAGGTCCTTTTATTTGGTAGGTTGTGGGGCTTGAACTCTGGGCCTGGGCGCTGTCCCTGAGCTCTTCAGCTCTACCACTTGAGCCACAGTGCCACTTCCTGTTTCCTGGGGTTCATTGGAGATAAGAATCTCATGGACTGGGCGAAGGTGGCTCAGGGGTAGAGTGCATGCCTTGCATGCTTGAGGCCCTGGGTTCTGATTCCTCAGTACCACGTAAGCTGGCCTTGAGCTAAAGAGCTGAGGGACAGCGCCTAGGCCCAGAGTTCAGGCCACATGACCAACAAAAAAAAAAACCCAAAAAAGGAAAAACAAAACTCATGGACTTTCCTGCCTAGGCTGGCTTTGAACTGCATTCCTCAGTTCTCAGCCTAGGTATAGCTAGGATTACAGGTACGACCCACCAGCGCTGGCTCCAACGTCTTTTTTTTTTTTGGGGGGGGGGGTCCAGTCATGGGGCCTAAACTCAGGGCCTGGGCGCTGTCCCTGAGCTTCTTTTGCTCAAGGCTAGCACTCTACCACTTGAGCACAGCGCCACTTCCGGCTTTTTTCTTCTTGCTTATGTGGTGCTGAGGAATGGAACCCAGGGCCTCAGGCATGCAAGGCAAGCGCTCTACCACTGAGCCACCTTCCCAGACCCTCCAACGTCTTACCTGTGACTTCTGCACCTGTGTATTCTGGCAGCCAAGCCCCCCCGCAACATGGACAGTCAATAAATCACCAGGAGGGATCACAAAAAAGCCATGGCTTGTGGGGTCTGACCCATCCCAGAGACCAGGGCACATGTCCTTCCTCCAAAGGAGTAGCTGTCTGCTTGGCTTCACCCCTGTGTCTGCTGGAGGTCAGGGGCCTGGGCTTACTGGGGGGATTATGGGTACATTGAGTTTTTTTTTTTTTGGGTCCGGTCGTGGGGCCTGAACTCTGGG